CAACAGTGGCATCATGTAATATTTGTCCTTTTGTGACTGGGATATTTCACTCAGCATAATGTTCTCCAGAGTCAACCATTTTGAATAATATTGCATGAGTGATTAACAATTTTGTGCCAGCTGCTACAATGTCAATTTTGTAAAAATTACACATGAAGATATATTTTAGAAACAAAATTAAAAATGATTCTATGAATCATCACAAGGCTAGTCATAATTTAAACACATTCTAATGAAATTTAACTTTCTTTTCCAATACCAAACGCAGATAAAAACCCTCCATGTGTTGATAAGGTAGGCCCTGAAGAGTCCCCACGAGGTGCAAATGCTCACTAGACTCTGGAGCCAAGTCTCCCTACCCAGCGGCCCTTTAGAGGAAAGGTCTGCTGCTCCTGCCCACATCAGCCATCACCCGCCCTTGAGAGCGCAGTTCCACCCGAGTCAAGATCAACTCAGAGACAACGGGTAGCGCCACTGGCACCAGCCCTCACTGCCACGGAAGGGTCTCCTGTAGAATTAACTCCTAAAATAAAATCTCTAAGACAAAGCTACTTCTCAATGAAAGGAAATAGAGGAGAGTAGTGACCAGTACTGTTGTTGTTATGTGCCCTCGAGTCGCTTGCGACTCTTAGTGACCCTATGTACAACAGTCCTAAACTCTGCTCTGTCCTGTGCCAATCTCATTGTCTCTGACACACCCATCCCGATTACCCCAGCCACTGAATCAATCCACCTCACAGAGCGTCTTCCCCTTCTGTACTGTCCCTCTACGCTCCCAAGCATGATGTCCTTCTCCAAGGACCGATCTCTCCTTACAACATAACCAAAGTATTTCAGATGAAGCCCCAGAATCCTTGCCTCCAAGGAGCAGCCTGGTTTTACCCTCTCAAGGACGAATCTGTTTGTTTTCCTAGCAGTCCATGGTACCCTCAATACTCTTCTCCAGCACCACAGCTCAAAGGCCTCAATTCTCCTTCTATCCTCCTTAATCATCGTCCAACTCTCTGATGCATAACAAGTGATTGCAAAGACCATGGCCTATATCAGACACACCTTAGTCTCCAGAGAGACACCATTACCCTTCAGTACTTTGGAGAGGTCCCTAACAGCCGACTTTCTCATCGCAATACATCTTTTTAATTTCCTGGCTGCTGATGCCAAGAGTGTTGATTGTGGAGCCAAGCAGACTAAAGCTGTGAACAATCTCAATCTCTTCACCATCCATCCTGATGCTGCCAATTGGTCCAGTTGTGAGAATCTTCGTCTTCTTAACACTGAGCCTCAATCCATACCGAAGGCTGTAGAACTTGACCCTCTGCACCAAGTGCGTCAAGTCCTCCTCAGTTTCTTCAAGTAGGGTTATGTCATCAGCATAACACAGATTGTTGATAGATCTTCGACCAATCCTGATGCCACATTTCTCCTCATAGAGTTCAGCCTCTTGGATAATCTGTTCTGCATACAGGTTGAAAAGGTATGGAGACAGGACATATCCCTGGCATACACCCTTCCCAATTTTGAACCATCCAGTGTTTCCTTGCTCTGTTCTGACGACTGCCTCTTGGTACAAGTATAGGTTTCCAATTAGCATGATCAAGTGTTCTGGGATTCCCATTCTTCTCAGAGTCAGCCACAGTTTGTTATGATCCACACAGTCAAACGCTTTTGCATAATCAATGAAGCACAGATAGACATTCCTCTGGTATTCCCTGCTTTCATCCAAGATCCAATTAAAATTAGCTACAATATCCCTAGTACCACGACCCCTTGTAAACCCAGCCTGGACTTCTGGCAGTTCTCTGCTGATGTACTGTTCCAGTCATTTTTGGATAATCTTCAGTAGAATCTTGCTTGCATGTGAAATCAACGATAATGTTCTATAGTTTCCACACTCTGTTGGGTCACCTTTCTTTGGAACGGGAACAAATATAGATCTCTTCCAATCAGTTGGCCAAGTGGTTGTTCTCCAGATTTCTTGACACAACTTGGTGGGCATGTCCAGGGCAACATCTGTTAGCTGAAATATGTCAATTGGCATACCATCTATTCCTGGGGCCTTATTTTTTGCTATTTCCTTCAAAACAGCTTGAACTTCTTCCTTCATCACCATAGGCTCTTGCTCATATGTTGTTTCATTAAATTCTTTTGTGTCTGCCAATTCCTTTCGATATAATGACTCAGTATATTCTTTCCATCTTCTTTTGATACTTCCTGGATCATTCAATACTCTGCCTAAAGCATCCTCGATTATAGCAACTCGAGGTTTGAATTTGTTCTTCAGTTCCTTGAGCTTAAGAAATGCTGAGCGAGTTTGACCCTTTTGTGTTTCTGACTCCAACTCCTTGTACATTTCATTGTAGTATTTTACTTTGTCATCCCGTGCTGCCTTTTGAAATCTTCTATTCAACTCTTTAGTATCTTGAATTCTTCCTTGGGCTTTAGCTTCTCTGTGCTCCAGTGCAATATTCAGTTTCTTCTGTCATCCATTTTGGTCTTTTCTTCCTCCTGTCTTTGCAATGACCGTTTGCACTCTTCTTGGATGATACCCTTGATATCTTCCCACAACTCATCTGGTCTTCACTCATTCAAGTTCAAGGCCTCAAACCTGTTCTTGAGACAGTTGCAAACTTGTAAAAAAAAACCCCTGGATTAAAATTCTCATTAAAGTTTAATATTTATTTATATGGCAACAAAGTAACTGCTTAGGGGAAGACCGAGGTGGTGAGGCGGTGTAGTGGTTAGCCAAGCTGCTAAGAGAGAGGTCCGAATTCTGCTCTGTCCTCCAGGGTCACAGAGGAATCCAAATGAACGCAATGGCACTGCTTACGTTTGGAGAAATGATGTGCTCCATTTTTAGGAGAACAAGCCTTTATTTCTCTGTTGCACAAAGCAGGCTGAGTTGGTGGCTTTCTGGTTGTTAGTCAAACTAAACCCCATGTTCTCAATCAACTACTCCGACTCGTCCTTCACTTCAACTTGGGCTGGGGTGGCGGCAGCGGCTGCAGGAGCAGCAGTGGCAGCAGCCGACGCCGCCATAGAGCACAAATGC